AGTGCTTCAAAGTGAGTTAGTATGAGACTTGTTGAGACATTTTTTGCTCTTTCTATCAGGCCCTGAGGACGCTTGCTAAACTCCGCTCTGAAAGCAGGAGGAGTGACTTGTGGGAAGAGTTGGGAGGTAAAGCCACTGCCAATCCTTTTCCCCTGTTACCTCGCAGTCCCTGCTGTAGGCTGCTGGGTATATGGTGTTGATTATGGTGATGAGCGGCTATAAACTCAATATTTTTCGAGGTGCGGTGAGAAGACTGTAAAGTAGGCAAATGCCTAGTATCTCTCACAGGAGAGCCATAGAGTGAGCAAGCTAAATGGGTGTAGAGGGATTCAGATGGCTTAGTCAGGATAAGGAATTGGGATCTAGCGGTATGTTTCTCTCATTTCTGTCTCCCTCTCATCTTCTCACTCTCTCTCTTTATCACTATTGATTTTCACACCCCTAAGGCCTTATTTACAATCCTTAACTTTCACACGGCAGTCTGTGACAACGGCAGTGTGATGCAGACATTGAAACGCAAGCCTTGACAAATCCCCGATCATCGCTTTTACAAAATGCACTCATGAAGTCCCTTAACTTAAGCAAGCATTGTTAACAGCGTTGAAATTAAAAAAGTAATTTGATAGATGACAGTCTGGATAGAGTCTTGTCTCACTGAAGTTGGCCAAACATTTGCTCTGCTTAATGATTCATATTTCTCCTTATTACGCTCACTTTCTTTGTCAGTGTGCACATTGTCATTTCTTCTTTGCCTGTGAACGCAGCTTCCCCCAACATCTGTCTTTAGTAGTGCTCATCAAAGACCAGCGGCTCCCCTGACACCGTTACAAGAATCCCAGATCAAGTTGCTCTACTTTTATTTATGTGTAGTGCCATGTGTTTAAATATCTTCATGCGATCTCAGAGCTTAGTCTGTTTTGACCCAGCCATTATTTCTGTGGTGAGGACCACAAAAAACCAGACCTCTGTGTCTCATGAGAGATCAAATCAAAGAGTTAGTCCAGAACCGGAGAGAGGGAGAGAGAGAGAGAGTCAGTTTAGGTATTTAGAGTCAGTCAGCCTCTGTCAAGCAAGTCGCTTCTCAGCTGTCTGCTGATGCCACATGAAGTAGGAGACATGCCTAAGCATTAATGGAACTGAAACAAAAATAAACTATTTCAAGTATAAAAAGAGATGCACACACACAGCTGCGTAGAACTTGGCAGTGTTGCCTTTGATTTATTCCTCCGGGGGAAGAAGGACGGTATTTGTGTGTTTGTAGGAGGAGGAAAAAAAAACATGGCACACAAGGAACATTCCAAGTTCGCCACAGGAAATCAATTTATTTGAGAGGGCAGCCAGTCTAAAAATAGAGAAGCCCCAAACAATAGAGTTGGAATTAATTGCCCATATTTTGTGAGAAGGCAAGAATACTCCAGAGAGCCAAAGTTTGTTCTCAGTCTTGTTTTCATATGTGTATTATGGAAATATTAGTCTGGTCTAGTTGTCATGTTGTTTTGTTTTAGGCATATTTTTGCATGTTTGCAGCTGTCAAAACAGAACTGAATTCTCAATCATTTCCCTCCCTCATATGACGACTTACCACTTGTCAACACTACTGCCAGCTGCCTTATTTGACAGGATATGATGATTTATCGCAAGTTCTCCACAGTAAATAGACAATAACTGTTTTGTCACACTCCACCGAGTTCTAACTGGGTTTTCGGGGAGTGTGTGAGGGAGTGCTTTAGGGGCCTTATGGGGGGCTGATGTGCCGTTTTTAATGAGATCTCACAGCAGTGTTTAAATATTTAACCGTTCCTGGTGAAGCCTCCCCAACAGCCGCAAGGCAAAACTGGTGAGGTTTCATGCAATCATCACACACTATACAGCACCTTTCCCCTGAAAACATCAGAAAATAAGCACAACCTGAATCTATAATGGCATCCTGAATACACATCCTGCTGTGCCTAATATCCGCACCTATCGACAGAGAGGCTGTCTTCGCCCCTGCAAATAGGTGTTCACGCACCATGACAAAGGGTGAGCATCATGATGAAGAGCTGTTGAATTATACATCTGAATTTTGATGGGATATTTTCAAAACTTTATTTTTTATCCCCACAAAGTAATTCCCCCATATCTACCTCGCTTTTTACCTTTTCCACCTTATTTTGAGCTTTGCTTTGTGCTTTTTGACAAACATTTCACCACCGATCAGTTCAACTCCTACACCCTTCATGTTTTTACATCCCACCACCCGTCATTCAAAGAGAATGGGGCTGGGGTGTCTTCCACCCCCTGCTGTGTTTAGAAGAAGGGGGTAGTGCTGTGCATGCATGTGTGTGATGATGGAGGAGGTTGGGCTGGTTGGAGGAAATATTGGTAATGCATCAAGAAAAGGCTAAGGAATTGTAATTAGGCCCATGTACTTTAATTAAGTCTACCGGATAACTTAAACTCTATAATATAATCCGATTATTGCCCCTCAATCTTGTTTAAAGGTCTTTATAATATGAGGGTACTTGGATCCAAATCCAAGTTTTTAAATGCCCTCTTAAACATATTTAGTTTATGCAGTCACTCTCTTTTAATTAGATTGTTCTAATCCAATTTGATGTAATTCCTTTACACACCAACCCTGGCATTTGTTTGGGATGTTAAAGAGGTTGGTGGATATTTAGGAAAGACCTCGGATGGTGTTTAAATCTGCTTTGGGAACGCTACATACTGCATTTAGGGGTGAGAATAGTGTTTGGAAAAAACACTGTACCTGCCAGCTGGAGGAATCTGGAGGGATTTTAGCCCACAGATGACAGCATCCACAACATCCCCCTTCACTGCCTCCCCCCCTTTTTCAGTCTTCCTCACCAGCTCCTCTTCCTTCTTTTATCCCCATCCCCCAACAGAGACCCATCCCTGCCTGTCTAGCCAAGAGAGCTCTCCCCAAAAATTCCCCATAACATCCAGGTATTGCTCTGAGGCCTCACTGATTGAAAGGAGCATTATTAGCCCCATGCTAACCTGCTCATTCACTCTGTAAAACGTTATTTATTTGTCAAGGGATGTATATAGACATTGCTGTAGGGGTCTTAAGAGTTTGGCAGACACTTGGTGCCAAATCATATGCATGACTCCTCTTGCCATGCCGCTTCATGTGGCTGCCAAGTGAGGCCCACTGGGTTCTTTGCCAGGGGACCCAGACTACTATTCAAACCCCCGCCCCCCACCCGGCCACACTCCTCACACACATAAAAACACCTTGTGCTTCCTCGGTGCCCTTTCTCCCTCCCCCAACCTGTACCAACCCTATGCCCTCCCATTCCCCTCCCACCCCTACAACCTCAGTCTCCGCACCACACTCATTATTAATGATCTGAGGGACAGCTTTCATTTGATCTATTACTTAGGATGGGACGGAGGCTGCTGTGCTGCTGCATCCCTGCTGGATCTTTAATTATTTCATGGAGGGCTTTCCTCCTCTCTGCTGCTCCTTCTCTGTTGTGCAGATGAAATATTGAAGTTGAGGAGTGTAGTGCAAAGTGGCCCCATACAGGGTGAGGTGTGTGTGTGCATTTGTGCTGTGTGGTTCAAGTGAACTGTATATGTGGGTGGACGGGCATGTGTGTGTAAGGCTTGAGCTTTCCCATAGGCTTTTCCATAAATGTGGTTTGGACTTTTATCTTGCAACTTCAGTAGTGAGGTCACAAATTGGAAGCAGATTGCATTAGTTATTAACTTTTTTTTTCTCAAACCGCAGTTCAACTTTGAAACACAAACATTCAATGTGCGAGTTGTTGTTATTGTTAAGACCTCTGAGTGTATCCTGGCCATCTGACAAAAACAACCGAACAGTTGCTTAACGTTTCAACATGGGAAAACACTATTAGCAAATGTAAAGAGAATTATTTCAGTGCATGTGTAATGTACTGTGATTATGGGCCATTAATGTCATATTACAGTAGTGTTGAGGGGCAGTAAGTAATGGCATGGTGTCACCACCCACTTTTTGTTGCCAAGAAAAACAAAGCATAACATCTGACGTGGAAATATGGCTGACACCACAGGCACACAGCTTTGCATTCAGGTATGATGTATGGCCTAATGCTTAATTGCTGTACTCTCCTACTTCATACATGTTGGACTCTCTTGAGACAGAGGCTACTGTGTTAATGGCAATCAAAATTCCACACAGCTCTGTGCTACATTCATTTTGTGTCACACAGCCCATACATAGCGTCACCCAGCAGCTGAGGGCCTACGGATTCAATAAACCCTTCTGAGATACTTACCTCACGTTGGAATCTATACACCATAAACATAATGACACCATATTTTAGTTTATGTGATTACATGTGATGGTATGATTTGCATCCACAGCCTTTCTCCACTCAGTAAAACATTGGATTGCCGTAATTGGTAGTAGGAGTAATCCATGCGCTTATGTGGGGGAGCGTTGGAATGACATTGATATACAGCGCTCCATTAATTGCCATATGAATAGGGTCTGCAGTGGTTGGCGCTCTGCTGATGCATCACAGTAAAAGAGATGGGTCACTCTGTCTTCTCCAGCCCGCAGCTTTGCCAAGCTCATAATTACTAAAACCACCAATTAATCTTCCCATCACATAGGCCAAATATACACTTCCTCCATGTATATGTGAGTTACAGTATGTGCTCTTAGTAAATGTGCATGCTTGTATGCGTGTTTAAACAAGTGGCAGTTATGTGTGCACACCTGTGAGGGTCTGTGCCCATGAGAACATCAAGTACAAACAGCACTATATGTTCTCAGTGTACTCTATAGCTCCCTTGCCAGACACACAGGTTATCAATACAAGTGGCATCAGTTGTGTCAATGTCACACAGTCGAACTATATAGAATTGCCATCTGCAGTTCTAAAAAAGACTTATTTTGTGCAAAGAAAAACATTGTGTTCACGGAGGGTTAATAAGCACATACAGTGTGTATAACTTCTTAGGTTGCCTTATGTAAGATAATAAGAGACCACAAGCAAATATTTAGTATCATTTTCTTTAATTTAAAACGTTTTTTAACTAATTAAAAGTGTGGTATCGGAGTGTAAATTGAATCCTTTTTCAGTTTTTTCCTTTTTGCCTGATTTCTGGGAGGTCAGAACGGCAGTGCACACTTCTTCGTAACAATACTTTTGTAAATGTGTGTCAGAATCAGTGCATGCATGTGTGTGTGGCTACATGAATATGTATTTCTGATGGTAGCTTTCAGTTCTGGCCCCTGGCCATTCAACCTTTACTCATTCTGAAAAGAGCCTCTTCTCTACAGTGTATTCTGGTCACTACTCCTCCGACTAGCTCATTCACAACACCTTACTGGCACCCAGTGCTGACCGCAGGTACTGCATCCACTTGATGCATGGGTGACAGCAGGGGAGATGGAGAACTGTTTACAAGTGGCATTTGCCCCTAATTAAAAGCAGCACTTGTTGGAGCACTTGGTCTGCAGGAGGACTAGCATCCACAGTCACACACACTGGGCCACTGATCCTCTGATAAGCCTTCTCCACTCTGCACAACACACAAACACATTGGTCAACAAGTGAAGAAAACAAGCATATAAACGCAGCAAATTACACTCTACTACATTACAGTGAATAATCTGTTTCATGACACCTTTGAGTATTTTGAATGCTAATGTTTTTTTTGAGTGCACAACATTTACTCCAAGAAACAACACACATGGCTTATAGCGCAGCCATTCCTGAGACAAATGAAGAATAGTCCTTGTGATAGTGATTGACCAAGTCTGCAGAATCTCTCACTTTCTCAGCCCCGAGACAGTCCATTCCCTCCCTTTTTTTCTAATTCTGCTGGCCCAACATCTGGCTGTCCCATGTGGAAAGGCCATTATGTCAGGAAAGAGGATGAATGAAAGTAGCCATCGACCTGTCTGCGTAGCGACTATCATGGGCAGCCAGTGCCTTGCGAGTTTTGACCAGCTTAATGGAGCACAACTGCTCAGCAACTAATCACCTGTTCTTTCTCATCAGCTGCTTCCCCCCCGGGACAGTAATTGATTGTTAAGTGTTTGATGGATCTGACTGAGACTGAGCTGACCTGACTCAGTGGAACGTGCAGTACAGTTTGTTGCCCATCTGTGGTTTCATGTTTTCACACTCACTGGGAACTTTTTTCATCACAGACTGTGGAACATTTGTCCACATGTCACATCGCTGAGTGTGTTTCAGTCATTACCCACTCTGTGTAACAAACTGTTGTACTGTCATGCTGGACCTAGGCCAGATTAATAGAATGTTTGTATAATGTAATCTCAAAGACTCCTAAAGAATTCCATTTATGTTGCAATGCAAGACTACTACAGATTTTCTATTTGTCAAATTATTTATTAATGCTTTCTGTATATGGGATTTATTGATTTCAGTCCTAAAACAGGTGGCCATCTTTGATGAAATAGTTGTTTCTAGTGCTAAATCACTGTTTCAGGGATTTTCTAATAAGGGAGTTGGTATGGTTGTTACAATTTAAGGAATCTTCTAACCCTCCTGTTATATTATAGTGTAGGTTGGACAGAAACATGTTTTTTTCAGGTTTTTCCTTGGATTGAGGATGAATATTACCATTAATAGCGCTTAAAAGAGTGTCCATAAAACAATCCTTAAAAATTAAATAACTATTATGATTGGGTTTCTTATCTTCTGAGCATCTGTTGCTTTTTTCTGATTTGTATGACTGTAAATTAATTACCTTTTAATTAACTTTTGGACACACATTACAAGCTTTTTAAAACATAATCTTGGGTTTCTGGGAATTTGTCCCAACATTTTACATCATCAACAAAATCTATTTTTCAAATAGCAATCAACAGATGCATTTATTATGAAAATAATTAGCTTTATCTGGTATTATAAATGCCAAATGATCAGCTCAAAGGTGTATGTACTGCACACTATAAATATAAATATGTCTCACTTGAGTCTGAAAAGCTGGTTGTGGTCCAGCTCTTGCTCTTCCTCAGTCTTTCCTTGCCCTCTGTCCCTCAGCCTCCTCCTCCTCTCCTCAGGGTCCAGCGTGAGGCAGACCACCAGGCTGGGCTGGAGCAGGTCACTGGGCCAACAGTAGACCTCGGACCCCTCTGCTGGAAGGTTGCACACTGGACCGCTGACTGCTGTGGCAATGGCATACGCTGCTGTGCTGTGCCAGAATCTGAGAACAGTTAATGGATGGTGGATTGAAAGGGGAATGATGGATTGATGTATGATCAGGTGACTAACAGGTGGAGTACACACAATGTTTAACATTGAATTGTAGGTCTAGATCCCAGTGGGATGTGTCTATTGTCCCCTCTGACTCAAAATAGGTCACAAAACTGGCAAACGTCACAACACCTGTGACATCTCAGCTCTCTTTACCTGTCAACGATGACAGGTGTCTTCATACCCTCCTGGCCTATTTGTTCTGCTGTGATGTAGTTCCCCAGAGCGTAGAAAGCCCTGCGGATGAGGGGAGGCTCCCGATCAAAGCGGGCCCTCATGGGGGACAGGCAATGGGGAGGGGACCGCAGAAGAGAGGCCCCGAGAGCATCCCTCAGAGACTCAGTCAGAGTTGTCTTACCTGTGAAGGTAAGAGGGAGGAAGGGAATAGTTACTTCAGAAGCAAAGAAGACACACAAAGACTGAGAGAGATTTTAGAGATCAGAAAGAAGTATTCGTCACATTTTCTATAAATGTAATAATAGGCTTAAGAGTCTCTTGAAAATACAAAACTCCCATCCTACCTACAAGGTTGGGTTTTCATGAGGTTTGAGAAGAGTATTAGATGAGCGAGCTCTTCAATAAACCATTTTCACAGTGATGTAACTTTCCTGAGGTCATGATACATGATATTCCATTAGGCAAGGCTCGCTGGCAGATAATGGCTTTAGCAGAGAACAACTGGCCATCACTTTAGCGAGACATCTATACATCAAGCTGATCCCATATTTATTTATGAAGTAATGGCATTAACCTGTGGCATCCAAGCCTTCTATGACAATAACAGGGAAGTCTGGTTTCCGTCTGGGCTCCTCTCGGCTGGGCAGCAGCGCCAGCACAGCCCTGGCCTCTGGGATGATGTCACCACACTGCAGAACAGACAGAGTCAGTTTGCTGCTGAGAGAGCAGGCAGGAGGGAGTCAGTGACTGTGGTGCGCATGAACACACACTCTACTGTGAGCCACCTGGCACTGATAGATAAAGGGAAGCATTAAGAGGCCTTTTGGACACACTGCTATACCTTCCTTTACCACAAGAGTGTGCAATTTTAGCCATAGCTTGCAAATTAATCAACACTTCTGTTTGTTTATGTTCTTCAAATCAAGCAGTGGTGAAAGAGGTTCTTAGATATTTTACATAAGTTAAGAAGCAATATACTTAAATGTAAAAATACTCTGTTACACGTAAAACTCCAGCAGAATTTGACTTAAGTCAAAATGCAAAGGTGTACCACAATTGTCCCATTTAATAAACAATTATATTAAATGACTTGATTTTAATTATTGATGCATCAAAGTGTCTATCACAGCTAATTTGAAATGCTTTATATTGATGATGGATAGCTTAACCTATGATAATATTATGTGAATGTTTATTTATAATTTGATGCATATGTTTAGTATTAGTTTTTAATATGAATGTATAAAGTACCTAACAAAAGCTGTGTAGTAGGTACATTCAGTGGAGTAGAAAGTACATTATTGGCATAATGGCATCCAAAATATAGTGGAGTAAAATCATTTGAGTATATGATAGAAGTCCTCGCGCAAAGTAGAGTGACCTTCCTCTACTGTAAAAAGCAGATTTATATCATAATGTCACTATAATAACCTTTTCTAGAACCTGGTAGGCCTCCTCAAAACTGTAGAAAACATCCGAGTTGATGATGTTGAGAGTGGATGGGTGGTGTTCTGGTGCTTCTGCTGGTACCACATAGTAGTCCTTTGGCATCTGCATGGTGTGGCTGTCTCCATCAGACCACAGGTGCTGAGTCCACACTCCACCTGTCTCTCCTCTCAAGTATGAACACACTAGCACCGGGTCACGCTGTGTTAAATCTCGCAAAAGACGCTCTGTAGGGGACGAACTCTCGGAAGTATCTGTCAAAAAGTAACCCTTAAGGAGAGAATCCTTGATATTTGGAAGAAATGAGCACATGGGAGACAAATGACATTCTGGAGGCAGGTTTGTCAACAGTTTGTCTTTGAGCTCCGCGTAAAACTTTGCACGTCTGATTGTGTCGCTGCTGCAGACAAGCAGAGAGTAACACTGGCCATCGTTTCCTCTGAACACCCGGGGCACTTCTTCTCCTCGGTGCTTCTCTTGTGTTGAAAAGTAAAAGGGGGTTCCATTCAGCTCCACTGAAAAAACACGAGAGGACCAGTGAGGAAGAAGAGACATTGTCCGCCGTGCCATTTCTTACACCTGACGCATTCGTCGGTATCTGGTCTGGTTCAAGGATATTAACTGCGTAGCATTGCATCATGGCCGCTGAAGGGAAAGCGAAAGTTAACTCCGCTAAACAGATAAACGAAACTTATCCTTCACTCTCAGATGGGTTATCAGAAAACTGCATTGTTGTTTCCGAGAAACGAAATCCTTGGCTCTAAGTCATGTTTATGGATAAGTATGACACACCATAAGAAATAGCTTCTGGTTGTGTTAAGTTCTAAGTGTTAAGTTTCTCTTTGACGTCAGTTATCTCTTAACCCAGGTGTTTATTGAAGATTTAGGAAGAACATAAAAGTCAACTTTGCTGACAAATAATAAACAGAACAGAGCAGGCAATCCATTATAAACATGCATTTCACTTTTTTGCCTCAACCCACGTTTTATTATTATCTTTAATGGCATGCAATCTTACTGAAACCCATATTATTGTTATAGATGTTAAGCCTCCAATAAAGTGTCTTATATCATATCATTGTTGCATCTGTATAATGACTATAATAATACATATTGGAGGTATTTTATCTTCACCTGCACTGTCACATTTGCTCAGTACCTCGCTGCACGTGAGCTGCACCCAGCTGAGTTCCGTTTTCGATGTTTGTAAACAGAAACTTAACAGCTCAGCTGACCGACTTTCCTTACCGCTATATAAAGCCCGTGCCCTGCCGACCTCAACATTCGCACTGACAACAGTGATACGGCTGGTTTGAAGATGAAAACCTCTTATTTGATCACTTCTCCAATGCTGCTGCTGCAGCTCTGCATCAGCAACCTGCACCACATTTTTACGAGCGTCTTTTCTAAAGTTTTTAACTGGACACTCGGAGTCCGCATCCCGTCGACATCCTCTGTCTCACAACTTGACAAAGAAGAGGACCAAAGCAAAGACAAAAATGCGACGGATCCAACAAGTGTAAATTATCACTTTACAAGACAGTGTAACTACAAATGTGGATTTTGTTTCCACACTGCAAAAACATCCTTCGTTCTGCCTCTGGATGAAGCCAAAAGGGGGCTCAAACTCCTGAAGGAATCAGGTAGGCTGCATTTTAAATATCAATCTATTCTGTTTGTGTGGTGTAAGAAATGTTGTTTACAGTTAAACTAATTGCTTCTTTAATTAGGCATGGAAAAGATCAACTTCTCTGGAGGAGAGCCATTCCTGCACAATAAAGGAGACTTTCTGGGGGAATTAGTTCAGTACTGCAAACAGGACCTCCAGCTCCCAAGTGTCAGCATCGTCAGCAATGGAAGCATGATCAAAGAAAAATGGTTCCAGAAATATGGGGAAGATCTGGACATCCTGGCCGTCATCTGTGACAGCTTTGATGAAGCAACAAACCAGCTAATTGGCAGAACTCAGGGCAGAAAAAGCCACATTGACAACCTTCACAAGATTCGAAACTGGTGCCAGCAGTACAAAGTGGCATTCAAAATCAACTCCGTCATCAACACCTTCAACATAGACGAAGACATGACGGAGAACATCCTCCAGCTCAACCCAGTCCGCTGGAAGGTGTTCCAGTGTCTGCTTATCGACGGGGAAAATGCAGGAGATGAAGCCTTGAGAGAGGCAGAATGGTTTGTCATCAGCGATGAGATGTTCCAGGATTTTCTGGATTGACACAGCAGCCTCCCCTGCCTTGTTCCTGAGTCCAATGAGAAGATGAGGAATTCCTACTTAATCCTCGATGAATATATGTTTCCTGGACTGTCGAGAGGGAATGGAGGACCCGTCCAAGTCCATCCTGGATGTGGGTGTGAAGGAAGCCATTTGTTTGAGTGGCTTTGATGAAAAGATGTTTAAAGAAAGAGGAGGGAAATATGTGTGGAGCAAAGCAGACTTCATGAAGTTGGAGTGGTGAAAACACTGCAAATCAAATTCGATGTACCTTTGATGAGGGGTTGCACAGATTATGTTTATAGTGTGTGTGTGTTTTTATTGTTATTTCTGTTTCTTACTTACATCACTGCTTTTGTTTTTTGAAAAAAAAAGCGTTATGTATATATATATATATATATATA